CCTTGCTCAAATAATCTACTGGAACAAATAATATGCACTATCAAATCTATGATTAAGTGTCAAGCAACAATAACAAGATTTTCACATTGAGCTGCTGCAGTTTAGTGCAACACCAAAGGGGAAGAGATTACCATCCATAGAACAAGTCACGCTCAGAAGATAATCATGACAATCTTGCCTAGCAATTAATTGACTAACTATTCTGAGGTGCAGAAGATTCTTACTCAAAAACAGAGGAGACTGAATGAGATTCATGACCAGCAAGCAAGTAGGGAAAGACCACTAATCTGCATTAGGAAGAAAGTGCACATCAGAAAATCCAATTACAAATACTTGGATGCCAGCAAAAGGTTTCTAAAAAGTGCAATGAGCTCAGATCATAGAAAATCCTTACAGATAGTCTGGTTTGTGTGTTATATAGAGCCTTTTGCCAAATCCATATGAAGTATGCAAGCCTGAGAGGGATGACTACTTCCAGGTAGCAGAGGCCTGCTACCTCTGTGTAAATGGATGTCATTGCTGTTTTCTGCTCGGATATCAGTGCACAGATGTATGAGCATCAGTGACTAGTTTGAAATGGCCTCGGGAGCCAAGGGAATCGAGAAGGAGTGAAGCCATGTTCTTTGGGACTTGGGCCGATTGAAATTTTATCCCCTTCACCGTCAGGTCAAGTTATCTGAAGGTGTTGGGTGCATGATTCTGAAGGCTTTGCATGTGCTGAAACTTGGGACAAGTGTATCGCCAAAATGGGGCAGAAACTGGGCAGATGGGAGCACTTCTCCTTCTCAATTGCGGGTAAAAACTGAGTAATCAGATGTGAGGTACTGTCGCTGTTTAATGTGGCTCAAGGCTGGCATAATCCCTGAACCTGCACCATTGCAGTCACCCAAACCATCTTCCACATGTTTAAAGTTCCGGATAAGGGGGGATGAATGTGCACAATGCTGCCCTCATCCTAATGGCCACCTTTGTGTGTAGCTGCATCAAGCTGCGCGAAGACCCTCGGTTCACAAACCAGTAAGTGACACTACATACTGAGGCTCTACCTGACTCCGGCGTTACAAAGGATGGGCCTGGCCTTGGTGCAGTTGAACCCTTCAAGTAGTTCGACCATGCCATATAAACTTGTCCCTCTGGAAAAATTCAGAAAGGAAAATAGCTTTGACTACAAGTACATTAGGCAGTGGTCGGCACATAGCATCCTTGAGACCCTGTGGGAAAATGTGAGGTTTGATCCTTTCAGGTGCTTCCCTGAGCAGACTGTCAAAGTCATTTGGCAGAATGACTCGTCACCAGAACTTATCAACAAGCGCCAAGATATAGCTTGGCTAGTGGTGAGAAGGGCATTACCTGTGAGATCCTTTGTGTACGCTGGAACTCTCTCTTCCACCACATGCTGCCCTTGAAGTGGCTCGAGGAGGTGGGGGTGGGGGCTGGTGGAGAGACGGTCACACATCTCCTCTGGATAGTGTCTATATAAAGAATGTCTAGAGAGAGGTGCAGTAATTTGCTTTTGAGGTTTGTCCTGAGCATCTCATGCAGGACTCTGTGTTCTATGGTGTCTTCCTCAGGATCTACACCAAGACAAATATCGACTGCTCCTGGAAGGCCATCAGCACAGTGAAAAGCACTCTTTGGTCTGCTCAGAGCCATTTGGTCTTCCAGTGCAAAACATTGACCTCAACTGAATTTTGCAGACTGGCACATTGCAAGATCTAGGATTACATGCTGGGAGATGCACGAAAGTCCGGGTCAGCTGCCGCCAAAGCACAGTGGGGAAAGACCACTGTCTGAAGTCTTCTTGCCAAAGTACTATCAGACCCTCTCTTTGCCTCAATGTGCATGAGTAGGAAATTCGTTTGGTTTTTAACCTTGAAATGCCAAATTCCTATGTTTGTTTCCTTTTGATATGCAAAAACTATATAGATACAATTTTGTTCCTCTGTATGTACATAAAAATCTTTATGAATAAAGTATATTTTTGCAATAATAAACTTTGTAAGCACCAGAAATAAGTGAGAGTCAAAACCAGTATAATAACATTATAATAGTAAGTCCAGGTAGGTTAAGGGAAGGAGAGTAAAATTAACGTAAGGGAAATAAGTTTAATATGAAGGCTAGATATTGCAGGAGAGCTCTGTCTTTTGTGTTGCACAACCTGCAGTATGTGGGAAATCTTAGATGCTCCTGGCAGCCTGCATTACCAATTTGCAGGAAGTGCATCCTGCATCCATCTTTATAAAGCCCTGAGGAGTATTGCTGAGCAAAGAGACCTTGGAGTGCAGGTTTATAGTTGAAAGTGGAGTTCAGGTAGATAGGATAGTGAAGAAGGCGTTTGGTATGCTTGCCTTTATTGGTCAGTGCATTGAGTAAAGGAGTTGGGAGGCCATGTTGAGGCTGTACAGGACATTGGTTAGGCCACTTTTGGAATACTGTGTGCAATTCTGGTCTCTCTGCTATAGGAAGGATGTTGTGAAACTTGAAAGGATTCAGAAAAGGTTTACAAGGATGTTGTCAGGGTTGGCGGGTTTGAGCTGTAGGGAAAGGCTGAATAGGCTGGGATTATTTTCCCTGGAGCATTGGAGGCTGAGGTATGACCTTACAGAGGTTTATAAAATCATGAGGGGCATGGATAGGGTAAACAGACAAGGTCTTTTCCCTGGGGTGGGGGAGTCCACAACTGGAGGACATAAGTTTAACATGAGTGGGACAAGATTTAAAAGGGACTTAAGGGGCAACGTTTCACGCAGAGGGTGATGTGTGTATGGAATGAGTTGCCAGAGGAAGTGGTGGAGGCTGGTACAAATGCAACATTTCAAAGGCAATTGGATGGGTATATGAATAGGAAGGGTTTAGAGGGATATGGGCCAATTGCTGGCAAATGGGACTAGATTAATTTAGGATATCTGATTGGGATGGACGAGTTGGACCGAAGGGTCTGTTTCCATGCTGTACATCTCCATGACTCTATGACCGTATAATGGTACTACATTGGGAAGAGAAAAAACCAGCTCAGACCAATGTACAACATACTAATCATGTCCAAAGAGAGTAAGAAAGATAGCTGATGATGATTGCATGATGATGTTGAGTGATAGCAACATGCAGCAGAATAAACAAGATGTCAACCAACAGCAAAGAAAACAATGAGGACCTCACCAGTTCAGGACAAGTTATCAAACCTCCAAAGTGCTTCATTGAAATTTGAATTGTTAAACTTGCTACCTTTGTTTTTACCTGTTTGTACAATTATTAAATTGACAGCACATGCTTATGTACAATTATGTGTATCTCTTTGGGATTTCTTTTGCAGTAGAAAAAGGAGTTGTTGTGTTGTGCCTCACAGCTGGAATGCAATTGTATTTTAATAATTAACCTGAGGGTATGAAGTTGTCAGATTCCATCTTAACTGGGGTCACTTGAAGCGGTTTGTAACCAAATAGCTTACCATTAGCCCAGGCACTGCAATGCCTGTGACTGCAATATATGTGTCTACCTGGAGTTGGATAAATATTTATGGAATCTTTCATTACTATGTTACTCACGTCTAATAATTATGTAATGGAAGTTAATGTAAGTATTGGCCCATTAGGTACAATTATCCTACTGAAGACAAAAGCCACAATATAGTGGCAGACTGTTTTGGAATTGCTTTCTAGAAGTGTTTTTAAATACCTCTGGGCTGAAATTTTAGTTACCCAACCATTTGCAAGTCCTGAGTATGTACTTCTCCGCAGTAGTACAAGTTTACAGGAGGTGCCTATGAACTGGTTCCCAGTACATTCACCATCCAATTAAGGATGACTGGTGGAAAAGGAATGTGAGGCAGACAATGGAAGGGCCCACAGGAATGTCTTGCTGGGAGCCTGATCAGGAAAGATGAGTGCTACTGAAAAAGGAGGAGATCTGGAGGATACCTTGAAATGGAGCACTTCCAAAAAAGTTCTTTACTAAACAAAAAGGCCTGGATTTGTAAAAGTTCCTGGAATGGAGGGGCACTTCTGTAAGAATTCCTGTGACAGAGACTGATCATCTCCTTTGCTTGCATCTCCTGAGCTGTGACATTTGTGATCAGAGATTTATTGCAGCATAGAAGGAGGTTGCATTGTCCATCATTGGCTGCACCGGCTCTACGAACGAATCACTCAATTGTGTTATTCCCTGACCTCGTCCTGTAATCCTGCAAGTTCTTCCTTTTCACTAAGTCCAGTGGCAGATAGTCACTGGGAAACCTGCTTTGAGGAAGGACCATATTGAGGATTCATCCTGGTGACATTTTGGCTATTTTCCTAGACATAGTGTCCAAAACTTCCTGTATGGACCCATACAACTTCCTCTTTGTTCTCATTCTAGTCCCATTTCATTTTCTCCTGCAATAGATATGCTTACACATTTTAATTTCTTTTGTAACTTTCTATCAATTTGGAATGCTATTTGTACTCATGATTTTTTTTGTTAAATTTTGGAGTTCCTGTTCTAGATGTTCAGTTTCCTGTACAGTTGATTTTGTTTTAAATTACAACTGAACATCAAACCCATTTGTAACTTAAACTGACTTCTGTAGATTTATTCTTTGTTGAAATTTCCATTTAAAACTGCCAGCATTTAAGGACTAAACAGACAAAATAATTGTGGTGAAATGCAATTTCAGTGTCCCTCCACTCCATTTGTGCAGGGGGTTGAAACCTTCCTGTGAACATAGTCAGTAGATGTGCCATGAAGAGGTTTAATTTCTCCTTGGCGCCTAGTGTCTGGACTGGAGCCAAAAAAGCAAAGGTAAATGATGTTTTTGAAGCACATATCTATACATGATCTTGCTGCCATGGAACACAAGTGGGAGGACTGCATTCCACCAAAGCCGTATAGGTTTTTTTTTACATTTTAATTGCAGAATTGTGACTGTAGCCTTTAAAGCATTAACTCCTTTTCCACCCACTCCTGCTGAATGGTTAGAAAATAAGCAGCATGTCATACCTGGTTATTTCTTATCAGATGTTTTTGGGATGCTGTCAGTGTACTCAAATTTTCCAGGAACTAGAGATATTTTGGGACAGCGAAGCAAGCTCAGTGAGAGATAATTAGCCCCCTTTTTGAAGGTGGGGAAAAGACATATAGCCAAGTTCTTTCTAAGTGGAAAGTATAGCCTACTGGATGACTTATGTGAACTGGTAAGTGATTGTTACTTAAGTGTCATGTTTTTCCATTTCACCACTGGATTCCATAGTTCTGGCATTATCTTAAGTTGGGTAGGAAAGAGGATTACCTCAATTCCTATTTTCCATGCAACGTTGTGGAATGGTGGTGCACATCCTTTTGACTGAATGACTGTTTCCCTGGATGGTGTATTCCGAGAGATTTACTTGATAACACGTTTCTCTACTCCCCTAGCAACAACTGACAGGTTTACCCCACACTCGCTGGTATCTGGGATTTATTCGCAGTTCCTCGCATTGCTTCAATGCACAATATCTGCTACATCTAAAAAGTAACAGCTTCTAGAAATCTAAGTGATTAGATATTCAGACTGTTCTGCCTGGATGGGATTGTGGTTTTCCAATGTTGTCAGAAGCTTAGCACTTTCTTTTGATCGGATGTGGTACAGGAAGTCTCCTGAAGGGTTAAACAAGAGAGACGGGGATTTGGCTTGGCTGACGGACACCACTTGTGAATTAGTGAAAAATGCCCTCCAGGACATATCGGCCCTGACTCATGAGAATTTGGCAAGCTGTTGTTCAGACACAGTATGTAAATTAAAAATAGCAATGTCTAGATTGGGAGGTGATAAGAAGCCACAGCCACATTTTTTCTGGCATCTGTGCACTATGGGCTACTGAGGGAAACCAATTCTCTTACTTGAAAGCTTCACTGTTTACAGCCAGGAGCTGCTTTCTTCCCATTTAACAACCACAACACGTGGAAGGTAACTAGTTTGTTTTCCTTGTGCCTCTGATCTGAGAATTGCAGGTTTACAGCCACCACAATACATCATCTTGGTTTAAGGTAGGATCTAGGTTGCCAGTCATGGGCAAAAGGAACAATGAGCCACTGAATAAAACTTACTTGATTAGCAACTGGTGCCAATGACTGATAACAATCACAGCCAAGGAAAATAACTCTCTTCATTGATGGCCACTATTTTCCTTTCTGTTGCTGACACAGTCTTTCAAGCATTAGACATAAAGTTTATTGTGCTTTAGTTACATACAAGGAGACCTCTCTACCCACTACCACCTCCTGCTCATACGCACATACATAAATGTGCATTGTATGAAAATGACTGTATAGAAAACATGTGCTCGAAACCTCACGGTTCGTTCTTTTCTATTCTCACATGTGACAGAGACATAAGCACTGTGGAAATACCCTGTGATTGTTACATGTTGTCCCGTGTGTCCATCTGCCACACTAACTGACACCATGCTGTCTGCCCTGATGTACTGGCCATCATCTTAGCGCAGTTCTTTCAACGCGGTTCCTTACAGTACTGCTAAGGACCAGGATAAATAGCTGTAATTATTTGTCTAGACAATAAAGAACAAGGACAGGATATTAAAAGTCAGGTGTGCCTGCTTTTAAGAGCACCAGCAGCTCTTTTGCATTATTCACTGAGAACACTTGTGAAATAACTGCAAAGTAATCTCCAGTCATCAGCTCTGCTTGTGAGGGCAGGCATGACCTAGACCCTTTAAAATGCTGAGAAGTAGACATGATGGAGGCTATTTTGCTTGAACTTTGACTGTGGAACTCAAGAACATTAATTTAAAATTAACTAACATCAAGAAGGAATACAAAACACAAGTAACAACTGTGTGGAAAAAAATAATTGTGATGTTCATTTTAACTCCTTCAGCAAATGCTGAGCCTATATCTGGAATAGATGCTTTCACAACACAAACTTGCACTTATATGGCACCTTTTAATATTGGAAATAAAATCACAAACTGATACATGGAAGCAAATTTTTTTTTAAATGGACTTAGATATATTAGGAGGGTCTGAGCAAAAAAGTGAGACAATGATGTGGACTTTCAGGAAGGCTTTGAAGAAGGTGAGAGAATTGGAGCAGCAGAAGATTTGGAGATAATTCCAGAACAATAGGCCTGGTGACTGAAAACACAACAGCCAATGGTGGATCAAAATTAAGGCAGGAAGTTGAAATGAGAAGAAAAGGAGAGTTTGGGTATGATTTCGGGAATGTAATCTTGAGAGAGTCATAAGCATGAAGAAATTTCTACACGAGATGACACATACATATGAATTAAAAGGAGGCCTATTTTACCTTCAAGCCAGCTTTGCCATTCAATAAGGTCATAGCTGATCTGTTTGTGTTTTGAATTCCACATTCCCATCTTTGATTCGCTTGCCTAACAATAATCAATCTGATTCCACCTTAACAATATTCAATAACACTGCCTCCACTGTTTTCCAAGGCAAACAGTTCCAAAGTCACACAACGCTCTGAAAGAAATAATACTTTCCTCATCTCTGTTCTTAAAGGGGGACCCTTAATTTTAAAACAATGCCCCTTAATTCTGGCTCACCCATAAGGGGAAACATCCTTTCCATGCCCACATTGTCAAGACCATTCTTCAATCAAGTCACCTCTCACTCATCTAAACCCTAATAGAAACAAGCCTGGTCTCACCAACCTTTCCTCATAAGACAAAACACTCATTCCAATCTAGTCTGAGTGATAGGAGAGCAGGATTTAGTGTGGGTTTACGTAAGTCCTCAATGAGCTGACACTTACGGATGGTCAAGGATGGGAAACACCCCAAATGGTATTGGAGTTATCAAGAAGGAAGCAGAGGAAGACAAAGCCAAAAGTTTCAGTTGAAGCTGGAGTAAGGCATTAGAAGAAGTGAACATTCATGACTGACTCCTTAAATTCTAGTTTTTCAAGCTTTCTTTCATAAATGTAATCTTTCAATCCTAGAATCATTTGGTTAATTGTTGTTTTGTGGCTGTAAGTTATTTTATCTTGCATTTCTAAGATCATGAAGATGAAATCCACAGATGTGAAGGTTAGATGAATTAACCATAGGAAATGCGGGGTTACACAGATGGGGTAGAGGGGTGGGTCTGAGTGGGATGCAGTTCGGAGGGTCAGTGTGGACTTGATGGGCTAAATGACCACTTCCACACTGTAGAGATGCTATGATTCTAGGAAAAGTGCCATAAAAATACAAGATAACAAGGTGTAGAGCTGGATGAGCACAGCAGGCCAAGCAGCATCAGAAGAGCAGTAAGGCTAACGTTTCGGGCCTAGACCCTTCTTCAGAAATGAAGAATTTCTGAAGAAGGGTCTAGGCCCGAAACGTCAGCTTTCCTGCTCCTCTGATGCTGCTTGGCCTGCTG